AATGCACAACATGAACACATACTAGCTAAACATTGTAAAGACCACTGTTAGCTGTATCTACTGTTAGCTGTATCTACAAGAAAATTTTAGGCACTTTACCAAAATGTTGATGATGCTCAGTTTGGTAGCATGTTTCAAAAGTTTTTTTAATTAGCCACATGGTAGTAATTTATCTGTGGATAATACTTTATCTTGCTGTGAATAGTACTGTGTATTGGGCACATAGCTGATTAAAGGTTAATAATTCAAAGCAAAAGGTTAATAATTCAAAGTACCTTAATCAGTTTAGTATGTTGGAAAACCTAGACTCTGTTTTTTTTTTTTTTTTTGGAATCACTATAAAATTTAGCTAAAACATATGGGCAATTACAAACATGATGATCATTACTTACTGTTTTCTACAGATGTCTGTGATTTCTTCGTGAAAAAAAAACCAAAAACAAAAACAAAAAAAGCTTTGACTGCATTAATACAAACTAACATTTGCAAACCACCTATGAATGCTTCAAGAATGCTCCCACTTTAAAACAAAACAAATACTCTTTTGCAAGTACTGGCTTGGTTGTTTAGTCCTATGTATTTGAGCTACAGCTATGGTAAAGGCTAGTTTTTAAGGATATGTTGGTTCTAGGTGATCCACTTGGTGGTGATGCCCCTTACTAAGAGGTAGCGCTCAGATTCTCAGTTCCAAAAAGCCTTTCTCCACTTGATTGTCTGTGGTCTGAGTATGTGGCAGCATGGACCTAAGAGTAATTTGTTATGCTGGAAACTTGGAGAAGTGGCTGGCTTACTAGGGAAGAAACCACTACAGATCATTGATTATACTTATGGTTTGTTTTAAATTTCTATTTTCAAGAATTGCTAATTCTTATATCTATGAAAAGTGGTTAGTTCAGCATTTTTACAAGTAGTTTAAATCAGAATCCTTTTGTTGGTCAGTTATAGCCCAGAAGATTATTTCCTTTTCCAAGCTGCAATTAACAAATATACTACAAGCAGAATATAGAAGTTTTGTCTCCTTTAATTTGCTTTCTAAAACTGATCCTTTTTTTATGTTACATCTAAGTCTGTCTTTTTCTGGTTTTGTTGTATCATCTCTTTAAGTACCAAAAAAGTGAAAAACTAAATAATTTAGATGTTTCCAATTATTTTTTTTTTTTAAATAGTAGGAATAAGTTTATTACCACAACAAGACTTGAAAAAAGTTTGCCTCCAAGTACCAACTTTCAGCTTCTACCCCAAAATAAATCAACAAACCCTCTGAAGTTGTACTTAAAGACCATAGTAATAAATGTCTTGGAAACAATACCACATACTACAGTGAATATTTGGAAAATATAATATTGTGAAAGTATTGGCAAATGTCATAATAATACTGTGAATATTTGGAAAATATCTTCTTCTTTATTTGTGCTTCTTTCTCCACATTTCCATGCTGTCTTTATGACAGAGTTTACTGAAGTACCATAGAAGAGCTGCTGTTACTGCATTTTTTCAGGTAGCACAGTCTTGTAGGACAAGAGCATTAATTGAAGAAGTGAAAATTATGCTCAAGGTTTGGAGATTACTAATTTCAGTATATGACACTGTTGCATAGTACTTAACACTTGTAGTGTTTACTATTTTTACTGTAAAGCTTTTCAAATACTGCTACCCAAATACAGAGCAAAATATACAGTAAAAATGTATATGATTTATGCATAAATATATAAGGAGAGGAGAGAAAGAGGTGACATGGTGTATTTTATGGATGCACTATATGAAAGTTGTTGTTGCATTTTCTCCTGTGTTGTTTTTTTTTTCCCCCAAATCCAAGCTTAAATTTGTGTCCAATAAATTTACTTTATCCCAAGAGAAAAAATACTGATGCATCCCTTTGTTACTGTTGACTGACAGAATTTTCTTCTGTGAGTGAAAAAGCCAGTGTTAAAGTAACCTGATGTTCAAGGGGCAGAATTGTTGTAGTAAAATCTCTTCTTCACCTGAGAAGTTTGATAAAATAGCTGGTAATTTTATTTTCTTGAAGAAAACAAAGATTAGTATAGTAAAAAGGTTAGTACCTAATATCACACCTTTTGTGTTTTGGTTCCAAAAGGGTAGACATATTCATTCTGAAACAGATTTAATGTTTCCTTGACTGCTCTGTAATGCTTTTTCTCTGTGTAGCTGTGTGGAAAAAGGCTGGTTTAGCAGAATGAATGATGTGGAGGGAGAGGAGTGTGTGACAGTGGTATGTTGGGATGGGAGCATACTTAGAAATGAACTGTTGGGCTGAATGGAGAGTTGTGCTTTAAAAACAAACTAACAAAAAAGAAAATTGAGGAAAGAAAAAAATAGGACGAAGACATGTATTGCATAAGGGAAGTAAGTATGTAGAGAAAGAAGTACCTGTGGGCTTTGATTGAAAGCCATTCATAGCACACCTTACATAACAGTGATCTAGAAGAAAAACATTTTCATTTGTTGTGTAGGTTGCACAGACAAAGTACAAAGACCAATTATGTGCTTACACTTTCTCTATTTCAAGTGCTACCTTTTACACATGCTTCTGGTCCTGTGTATTGGAAGGCTTTTGATTTGCAGAAGAAAGGTGAGATACATCTGATGAATTAATTGTGTTTGGGTGGCAATGAATCACTTATTTGAAGCAGGTTGTAAAGATTCAGCTTTAGGGATTTTTTTTTTATTTTTACTAGCCAGTTGAATATTTTACTGGCAGCCTTTTTCATATACATTTTTAGTTAATAGAACAGTTTGATTGTAGCTGTTAAGTTTTCTGATCTGAGGTGAATGCTAAAATCTAATGTTTTGGTCTGACAGGCCCAACAAATAATATCCAGAGAGAATCACAAACTACCTAAATGTTCTCTTGCAGAACTTAAGATTCAGTTGAATGGAGAAGGTCTCAGGGCTGAGGGATGTGCAGTGGCAGAAGGGCAACTGAGCAAATGTTCTGGGCAGTGTTCTGCCCTTCTTGAACCCCTGCTTATGCAAATGAAGCAGAACTCACATGTGAGGGGAGTTTTTGTGAAGAAGAAACTTTGGAGTTTGCAAAGCACTAATCACCTAGTCATGGAGATGCCAGACATCATAACTGAAGATATATCCAAGTACACAGTCTTGGGGCTGGTGACTTAATCAGAACCCATCCTGTGCTATCTTTGCCTTTTTGGTATTGTTTTGAAAGTTCTATGATATTAGTTCCAACTATGCTGTAGTTGGAACATTTGCCTTTTCTGGTACCTAAATGTTTTCTTGTCCTGTTTAATATCTTTATTGATGAGGGGATCAAGTGTGTGCTCCGTAAGTGTACAGACGACACAAAAGTTGGGCTGAGGTGTTCATCTGCTGGAAGGTAGGAAGAGTCTGCAGAGGGAGCTGAACAGGCTGGGTTGATAGGTCAAGGCCAGTCATATGAATTTCAAAAAGGCCAAATGCTGGGTCCTGCACTTGGATCGCAACAGGCTGGGGGAAGAGTGGACAGAACAATGTCCTATGGAAAAGCACCTGGGGATTCTGGTTCAGTCACTGAAGGCCAAGAGGGCCAGTGCACCTGGCCTGTATCAGCAATAGCATGGCCAGCAGGACTAGGGCAGTGATTGTCCCCCTGGATGCAGCATTGTTGACGCCACACCTTAAAAATCCTGTGTTCAATTGTGGACTTCTCACTTCAAGGAGGAGATTGAGGGGCTGGAACATGACCAGAGAAGGGAAATGGAGCTGGGGAAGGGTCTGGAGCACAAGTCTGATGAGGAGCAGCTGAGGGAGCTGGGGCTGTTTAGGCTGGAGAAAAGGAGGCTGAGGGGAGACCTTATCACCCTCTAGAGATGCCTGAAAGGAGGGTGTAGCCAAGTGGAGGTCCCGTGACAGGCAACCAGTGACAGGGCCGGAGGAAATGGCCTCAAGCTGTGCCAGCAGAGGTTGAAGATGGACATCAGGAAGAACTTCTTCATTGAAGGTGCGGCCAGGCATTGAAACATGCTGCCCTGGGAAGTGGTAGAGTCTCCATTCTTGGAAGTGTTCAAGAAATGAATGTAGCACTTGGTGCTGTGATTTATTTGATGCAGTGGGGATTGGTCAAACGTTGGACTTGATGATCTTGGAGGTCTCTTTCAGCCTTAAAGATTGTATGATTTTATGAAGCTGTGGCTTTTTTATAGTGAAAATGGACAGAATTAATGGTAGTCTAGTAAGCATGAACAATAGAAATATTTATAATGAGTTTTTTTGTTCTCTGTGAGGTTTTTAGGGCTTAGGTTTAAAAGCTTTAACTTATAAAAAGCTAGAGCAATATCAGCTCTAGAAAGGGGAGTAGGGGGGAAAAAAGCACAACAGGCTTATGATGGGACTTAGTTTTTTTTGGTTTGGTCTTTCCGTCCTTGTATTCTGAATTAGTCTGCCTTTAGGATATTGTCAGGTAAATTAAAAGCAATTGTATATTTCCTTTGTTATCTTGTAGGAGTTTTCATTAGTTCCTCAGTCTTCTGTGCCAAACTGTCTTTCTAGTTGATGATTCTGTCTTCATTGCATTGTTTGTTCTATTTATAAAAGCCAAAGGAAAGTTACAAAAATTAACTGAAATGTATTTTCAAGTGTACACACTTTGAAAAATCTACTTTCAGCCTTTCAGGACCTTTTACCCTTACTTTCTTGTTCAGCTTGGGTTTTTTATGTAATAGAGGGATTGGAAAACTGGAGATTGATCTTTAGTGATAAAAAATTATTAACCCGATTATACTTTTCTAAAAAAAATTTAAATTCCCACTTAGGTTTTGTATGTGTTTCCTACTGATTGTTTTTCAAACTTTCATCTAGATATGAAAGATGCTTTAAGAAGTAAGGACAGCAAAATGTTTTTAAAACTATTCCATTGATTTAAAAATGGAATATTTTCTTGTCATAGATATAAAAACTCGCTTTTCCAGAGGTACTTAATAAATATAGCTGTGCATATAAAGGCTTTCCTGGCTAGAAACTGAGTATCTTCATTTTCTGAACAGGTGTCTCAATGCATGTACCTACTGTAAAACAAAGCATGCCAGAGGAGATCTAGCAAGTTATCCTATTGAAGAACTGGTGGACAGAGCCAAGCAGTCTTTTCAAGGTAAGGAATTTTATTCCTGCAATAAAAGTCAGCCACTGAAGCATATCTGGGCTTACCTCCACACATAATGATTGGGGTACAATATGACTGTTGTTATTAATAGTCATAGCTGTGTCTTGTGGTGTCTTTATGGTAGAAAGCCATGCTTTTGTTATGGTGCACAACACTACTTGCAAAATGCGGTCTTTTAAGGAGTATTTTATTTTGATTTTTTTATTGTTCAAATGAAGTTCTGTGCATGGATATTTTGGAGGTGATGTGGAAATGGTAAAATTTGGTCATTTTATTTTATCTCTGATTTCTTAAAGAAGGTGATGGAAACCTTTTTTCATTCAGCTATGAAAATTTAATGAGCTTCCCAAGGATTCATAAATCCTATTCAGCAATACATTGCCTTTGCTGGTAATTGATTTAGTGGAGACATTCTGGGGTGTTTCTGAGACCCATATAAAGCTTATCAGCTTTTAACTTCAGTAGGATATTTGTAGTGTCACATGGATTCAATCAAATACTTCTTCCTGCAGTACACTATGGAAAGCTTTAGGGAGATACTGGGTGTAGGGCCAGTATCTGCCTAAAGCTCTTGTATTTATGTTAATGATGATAGCTTTATTGTATTCGTTCTTTATATCTAAGTTTTACCTGTGTTTCAAAAATACAGATTTTCAAATTATGGTGGTATTCATTGTGAAGGCACAGGTGGTGTTTGTTCTGTTTGTGTATCATTTTGAAGGACTGAAATGTACATTAAAAATACTCAGGTAATTCTGGTGTATCAGCTCCTTCCATCTTTGTGTGTAATACTTTGAATCAAAAGGAGTAAATGCAACGTTTGATGTCACATCCTCTGTGAATGCACAGACAGTACATCCCCTGGGCTTCACTTATGGCTCTGAGAGTTGCAAATGTTCTAGTAAGAAGTCTCTAATGATTCAAGGTGTTTTTGAATCTATCCTTATTTAGGGATCCATATTGAACCTTACTTAGGCCAGTGATAAACTTTTGTCTATTCCTATCACTTGTGTTCAAGGAAGACCCTTTTTCCTAATCAAAGCCCATGTTGACAAAGTCTGTGTTCTATGTTATGCACATAGAAAGTTCTCACTTAGGGTTGCAAATGCCCTTTTTTCACTTTTGTTAAAAGCCAAGTACTTATCTTCTGTGAAGCCCACCTGTGATTGCCATTAATTTTTTTCTTATTGCTTAGGTTTGTAGAATCAATGCTTTCGTTGAATTGGATTGTCTGTTAGGATTGTCTGGCAGGAATCCTGTCATGTCAGATTTCTTGGTTTAGTAGGATAAGTTTCTAAAACCTGTATACATATTGTGAAATAATCGATAACTGAAATAGAGGATACATAAATACACTTGTTATTTTGGTGGAGAAGCAACTCAGGAAACATTTTTCTGACAGCTAGGAGTTTTCAGTAATATAAGGTTTTTTGAAATTGGCGAGTGGTTACTGATCAGGAGACAAGCTGCCATTTATCAGTAGCATAAGAAGTGTTACTGTATAGCTGTATACAGCACTGTATAGCTGTTCTAAAGAAACTTTGGACTATTCTTCAAGGAAGTATGACAAAGATGGGTAATAAGTCAGGATTATGACCTTGTTTAAGTTAACTATTTAAATTTTATTTAGAATTATGGCATGTGTGGAAAGAAAAAAAATGCCCCAGACTTGTCTGTCCTGCTGTAATTGTACTTAAATACTATAAATTCCACATTGTATTAGCGTAAAGATGTATTTACTTAGCATAACAAGAAAGAAAACTCAAGTTTCGTTTGTCTTTGCAGACAATGAATGTGAAATTTTGGAAAGCATTTTGAACTCAACTGTTGTACATTTCAATTGAAAAATGAGTAATTCAATTCATGTGTTGTACTGTGGCCTTTATTATAAATATTGACTCTTTCAAAATAATTTGATTTCTAATGGAAAAAGTTGCCCTTAAGCTATTGTTTTTAAATTTCTTGAAGAAATTCTATGACGTTTCTCACAGCAGGCATCTCCAGGGAGTTCTGTTCTTGTTTGGCCTTACACTACTACCTCTGTTAGAGGCCATAAGGAAAGAAGCAATTATTTATTCAGTTGTAAAATGGCTTTGCCTCCAGCTTTCACATACTTAGAAATGGATGAAATAGTCAGATCCTTAGTTTGCAGTGCATGGAGAATTTATTACTGCCAGCTTGCTGCAGCTGTGGGCTGCAGAATCTTCATCAATCCAATGAAAGACTTTAGCAATTCAAAGCCATTATTCAATTTTTTGCTGAGTTACTGAGCCACAATCTCTTCAACAATCACTTCTGTTTTCACAGAAAACAGTATTAGCAATTTAGTATTGCTAAAGCTCTAGTTAAAAACATTGAGGTACAGATGTGCCATGAAAAGTTTTTCCACTTCGAAAACTGATTAAAAAGAGATGGCTGAAATCACCATGACTGAACAAATATTAGCCTATTTCTTGTACTTTTTCAATCTTTGAAATAAGCTGTTTTTCTTTTTGCATATTATTTTAATATCTTGACTTCCATGCAACATGCACAAAACTGTTACAGATTTCTAGTACATGCTGCATATTTTCATAATGCCTTGGACTAAGTGTTAAGGTGTACTGAAACTGAGGAGGTTTTGAATACTTTTGCATGGTTTATGTTGCTCTCTGACCTCCTTAATAGTTTTGAAGTTACAAGTCACATAAACTCGAATATTTCACAAAATTTCATTAACAAAATAATCTATCACAAGTTGAAAGTTTGTTGAGTTTTTTCATTTTTTAACTTTGATATTTTTTCTGTGAACTTCAACTGTTAGTAAGTAGTTGTTTAATTTCTTTTACATGAGCAGCCATGACAAATCAGAATATATAGCAGAGTTCTGTAGGAGAGCTAGTAAAAAAAGTATTGTGAAATACAATAAAGTGGTCTTTGAGTGGAGAACAAATGTCTGCTGTTAGGTTGTTTATGCAGAGTTTTTCTATAGCTGATTGTACAGCACTTTCTTTGTGTCATCAATTTATTAGTAAGTTTTTTTCAAAATGTGCTGTGTCATGTTCAGTGCTGTATTTTAGGGGATTGCATTTATAGTTATGAGAGGGCTCTTTCTTTCCTAGGCAAATCAAGTTTATGTATAACAATGTGGTTTTGCTTAGTATATAAAGTGGAAAACTGAGGGAGCTGCCATTGGTGAACAGTTCCAAGGAGACACAGAAGTTAAACAAGCCTGAACTTTGAATATTGTGTGGACTGGCATCCTGGGATGGCTTTGGCTAAATTGCAGGACTCAAAATTGATTTTTTTTAAAGTGATACTTTCATTATCATAAAAACCCTACATATTGTGAGATGCTTTGTGGGCAAAGATAATACTGTATATTGCAAGTAATTTTGGCTCATTCAGAAAACTAAGTTAAAAATACTTTTTTAAATGGAATTAGCTGTTATTCATTGTAGGTTTAGAATGAAAATCTTCTGTATGTACGACTACAAAACTGTACTTCTTAAGCATTGCATGTCTGTTGCAGATGGCAGGGAATATACTGCTGTTAAAATCTACACTGTATAATTAACTACTAACTTATCTTACTTTACGGTAGCAGTCAGGGTGCTGAGATCAAAGTCAATCTTGTTGGGAAACACTGTTCCTCAAACTATGTGGGACCATTGCTTCTGGATGAATAATTGTAGTGGCAAAAAAAATCACTTATTTTTGTTCCATGATTAGCAACTGGTTCACTGGCACGAGGGATGTTGAGTTCTGAATAGCACTTCTGGCAGGAAGTCTTGGACAATGTGTAACATTGCAAAGCAGGGGAGTACCAAAACTAAGATTCTGAGTCTTGAGTTTCATTAGTTGTCTTTAGCAATTATCTCTAATCTGGTAGATTTTGCAGTGTTGTGAGTTTAAAGGAGATTAGTGGTAAATATTTTTCTCTCTACAAGTTTGCCGTAAACAGGTGTTTGTGGGTGATCATAAGGATTGATTTTATATAATGTGATTGGTTTCCAGAGCTTTTCAGATGACTTTGGGCTTTGCTGAGGATCTTTGATTTTAGCAGTTCTGATTAGGTAATGTCAAGACATTCTGCTTTATTCCTAGTAGCTGTTTTGCCCTTGCACAACTACCAGTAAATTCTCTGTATGATTTCAGGGTAGCCGACAGTCATGAAAGGACAAATATGAAGTATTGGCAATGTTTTAGTTTCCCGTTGGTTAGCAGAAGCAGTATCAAGCCAGGATGCTTGGGCCACACTCTCGGTAGGTAGGGGGTTTGATTTCTGAGTACACTGACAGAGAATGGGTGTCCAGTTATCCCGATAGAGCCTGGGCTGTGCACTCAGGGTCCTTCCAGAGTAGAAACTAACACTGTAGAGACAGCACTTGTCGCTGCAGATATGACCTAGAGAGAGAGAGAGAGAGAGAGGAAGGAGAAGAATGGTGACTGTTTATCTACAACAAATCATTTCTGTCAGCCTTTTTACTGACTTCCAGAGAATTTAGACTTCACTCTAATATTACTCCTCAAGTATATTTTGAAATTGCATTCCAGAGAGCTTGGGCTGCTGTATTTGACATGCTTTCATAAAAAACCTCTCTTTGTTTTGCTGTGCTTTTTGGGTGTGGCTATAGAGCTAGGGTTTTTTTCATTGTTGTTCTTAAGTTTATTAAAATTCTTTCTGCATCTTTTTTGTATCTTATGAACGTTTCAAGTTTTTTACTGCTGACTTTGCTAAAGCACAGAATACTTAGGCCAAGATAAATATTTTTGTACCAACCCATCATTTCATAGTTTGATGGGATAGCATAATTAATTAGTTTTCATTGTCCACATGTATTTTTTTATTTTTATTTTTTTAATTATACTCCATCAGTAGTGAGTAGAAGCAGCATCTCCAAGTATGTGAGAACTACTGTGTAACATATACAAACACATATAACCGATGTCAAATAGCGGATATATTTTAAGAGATAGAAATGCCTTTTCAGTAGTAAATTGCAATA